AATATCACAGCAACAGTTCCTTACGGTGCTGGATCTGTCAAGGTCTGGGGTTATCTCTCCCATGATTGTAAACTGGACTTGGTAACTGTTCATGGAAATCTCAGTGGTGACCACGACATCCAGGACATTCAGGATCCTGTTCTTGTGCCACATTTGATAACCATCCATTAGCCCTGTATTTATGGATGACAATGCCTGACCACATCGTTCCACTCTTGTCACAGTTTTTCTCCAATAACGCTGTAACCAAACTTCCATGGCCTGCTATGAGCCTGGATCTGAACCCACTGGAGACTGTCTGGGACATTCTTTGATGACGAATGCAAGTACTGGATCGGCCTGAACAAGATCTGGATTGTTTGGAAGCAGCTTTGCACCAGGAGTGGCAGCAGCTGCCCCTGGAGCGAATCCGGAGACTCACAACAAGCATGAGGAGGAGGGTCAAAGCAGTCATCCGAGCACAAAGTGGATATGCACACTATTAACATTTTTCATGTAATTTGTTGTCTGAAAATGACAGAGAACATTTTCAGACTGAGAGACACTCACCTCTCCCATGTTAGAAATCCGCAGCCCCTAGTTGTACGGGGATACATTTGTTGACAAAACATTGTTGATGTTTTCATGTCATTTTGTAACTTTAAATAATGCAAATGTTCATGATTTTGTTGATATTATTTAGTCCAAAATGTCAACTTTCAGGAAAAAATGGCGTTGAAGCTTTCCAGTATTTCACTCGTTCTCAGTAAACCGGGACCATTTGGGTCTACAACTGTGAAAAAATAAAGTAAATGAAAACCGCTATGCGGTCATTTTTTCAGTTAGTGCCATATCTGAACTAATTTTCTGCAAAATATTCACACTCAGGCACAAAAATATATGACCACCAATTCCGTGTTGTATTTTATGTTACAATATCTCTGTATGCTTACGATCTTCTTATTCCAATTGAATTGTGTGATACACTCAGGTGTTCGTAGATCAAAATTGTACACAGGCCCATCGAGCTATGGAAGCGAATTAATTTGCATCAGATCTAATATGTAAATAAATAGAGTAATTAACATTGTGAACTGCTTATTTTAGATTTAACCAACAACACTAATAAAAAATGGAAACATCAGATGATAGTTTTCTGCCAGAATGCGAAACTGCAAAGTCAGGCGATGACAAACAATCGACAATAGTACAAATATTTCTGTTGATTATTCGGAAAATGATATTATTCATCTGTAAAGTAAATTACTACTGTTAATATATTTCAATAATGACATCCCTTTTGATAACAGAATTAAACTTTACTTCAGCAAGAAAACTTATAATCAGTCTGTAACAATTATCTTTTAATGAAAACGACACATAATCGTCAACCATCATAACTGTATCTCCATTTTGAGATATGCTACTCCCATTTTTGCTTTCTTTCTCTCTCTATAATCATGTTACTTTTGGGCAGCAGTTTTAGCCATTTTATCTGAAAAGAAATCCTCTTGACATTGTTATATACGTTTCATCAGTTGTATGACAACGTTTTTATCATACATATTCAACCATTCTGGAAACGTCTGAATATCTCGTGGGTAATACTGATGAAATAATTTACATTACGATGATGATGTGCTTACCAGCACTTGTGAATACACACAATTGAATGAATCAATAATTCCGATGGATTATTTCAGCCATAACGCCTTTCACACAGAAATTTCAAATAAAACTCAGACATATTGATACTATCTGAAAGTTGAACTGAATCTCCTTCATTCTTTTGTTAATTTACATCTCATTAATTAGACGTTTATTTCAACATTCAATAACATAACCCTATCACAATCCATTCAACAAATGGAATATTTAGAGGCCTAATTACATTTCCTAGCTATAAAAGAATTGAAAATATTGTGCATAGCAAACTAATATTGTTAAGCATTCGGAAATATAATTTACGTTACTTATATATAAAAGGCAATAACTGCCTAAAACTTACTTTCACTTGTCAAAGTTTGATTCACACAATACCAGACAACAAAACACAATAGTTCCGCGAAACTTTCCAAATTTCCAAGTATGTCGGTAACGTAAATTTTAGTAACCTAAATTAGTTCTGGTAATGAATAATGTTATGGAAAGATGAATAAATACAGAATGCTTGGTTGGGGCACATGTATAACAACAGACCGCCGGGCCCCAAATGTACAGTGATAAAGACTATTTCTGGGATGCGATGCTAGATTTTGTGTTATAACGGTAACTTATGATTACTTGCTTAAAAAATCTCTACTGATGTCGAGCATATTTTTCCATATTGTAAGAAAAATCGATGTTAACGAAACTATATGTTTTTACATATCGAGAATAAATGACCAAGCCAATCAAGAAAAGTTATCTTGTATGTCTGTGCAATGATTTATCACAAGAAAAGCTGTAAACAAGCACAAAGTAACGTAAATTACTCTGACTCTACAGATATAATCTAAACGAGAGTTTTGGGTTTTGGTTGGTGAACCATTAACATGCTAACATGGCATATTAACCTGTATGCATTTTGGTTCTTTCATGACACTAAATATAACAAAAGTTCCATTTTAATAAAATTTTGCAGCAAGCTTAAAAAAGAATACACACTACCGACATAGCAATAATGCCCATAGAACTCATAGAACCAAATGTTTGCTTCTGACGCTGCAATATGACTTATTTAGAATATCTGCACTGATAAACCTCGATATAATAGCAAATTTGAAAGCATCAACAGCCAAAATGTCCGCGACAGCAATTGTCCCAGTTAACTGAGAATGAGCATTGATGGCAATAGGGAAAAATCAGGGGGTGCTTAATTGAGTTCTGTGTGTATACATGTATTATGACATATATGTTGGAAACTGTTTCTATGAAGCAGGATATTCACAGGTAAAATGTGAGTAGGACTGGTAAACGTGAGCACTGGCAGTCCTTATCTCTGGCAGAAATGTCTGTTGAGGATGCATATATATCATATTCTGTGAATCACTTAAACATGAAATCATTCTGTTTCAATTTCCCATGGCTTCAATGGAAATCACAGCTCTTACAAAAATGCCCAATTACAGTGAATCACTAAATGCATGATAGTCACCTGCAATAGCCATGCTTCCTTCTATAAGTGACATTTAGAAGCTGGTATGATGAAGAGGAACACTTATGGATAAACAGATTCTTGACTGCAATGTTTTGGTGTAGACATTATCACTATTATCAAGCAACATCCCTTATCAAGTAACATCCCTTGTCTGTCTGTCTGTCTGTCTGTCTGTCTGCTATATCATTTTACTTTGAAAGATGGCTGAAAAGACATTAATTTGAATTGTGATTGCTGCAATATAAAAACATTTGATTTTGATAAGTATTTGGGTTTAACCTTCTCCTCTGATGGAAATTGGCATTATCATATTGAAAACATTGTCAAATAGACATCTAAAATGATTGGAGCATTTCAGAAAATAAAGTTCCTACTAAACAGAACAACACTGGCTGTTCATCTCTATGCACTCCTCCCTCCTACCAACTGTGTAAATATTTTAATGATAGCTTGTTAAACAACTTTATTATTTGTAGGACATAAAAAAACCTCAGAGAGTTGGTCTGATGTTTTGATTAGGATCAGCATTTCACTGAGTATTATATGTTTATTAGTTTTTGAGTTAGATCCGTCCGCTTTTGAGCCAAACGGACTATAATTAATATTCTGGTTTAGTGTCTGTCAATTGGGTGTCTCTCAAATGGGAGATAACCTTCCCAAGCCTAGTACACTGTGTGCCTGAGAGTAACCATACACCCAGTCCCGTCAACACCTTAATGCAGCCAGGCATTTTTCATATTGAAATACTTGAAAATACAGGTCTGAAAAAGTAATTATCTTCTTCCTTATCCATTTGTCCACCAAATAAAATAAAAAGAGTCACTCCCTAGCTCCTCTTTTAAAGTACTTAGGTACCCTAGACTATAACATTGTGAGTGTAGTGGTAGAATTTTCTAAAATATTCAATTCCTCACCGATTTCATTCAAATTTGAAATATATGTTAATCATGACATATAAAAACATAATAAAATTGCAAAAAAACTAGATTTTTTAGTTTTAAAAATTATTGTCCAAACAGTGATTCGAACCGATGTGCTCTGTGTAAAGCGTCACTCAGGTTCCGAGCCAACACTTCAACCAATCAGAAAATTATTAGCCCATGTAGCAACATAATCGATTCTGTCCACGACAGGGGATGGCCTAAAAGTCGGGCAGGGCCGGGCCAAGGCGGGCCAAATCTATTATTGGCTAATAAACCCATTAACGAAAACCATGCGTACAATTAATCAATGCAACATACACTCATGACAATAATGATCAATCGGAAGCCACAAACGCGTACCATAACAACTTTATTACGATTAAAGCAGCTAATATCCGGGAAAACGAGAAGCCCGTGACCTGGCTGACCGTGGTTACGTCTAAAAGTGGAATCGTTAAACGAAACGGGATTTAAAACGTATAAATACTGAAGCCAATTCCGATAAACATTTCCGTCGGCCCGAAAATCAGGGTACGAGGGTCCCAGGTAAGTGTGTCGACCCAGAATTCGGAAGGTAGATCTAGGTCGGTATTTCAGTCTCATGTTGTCAATTTAACACTGAATATCAAATCAAATGTTTCGTTTAGGAATTAAAAACGTTACCTTTCTTTACACGCATGTCCAGTAATTACAGTTGGTCATTGTAAAGTATGTATCGATACGCCTTTAGAACTTGCGTCGGGACAGCAGTAACAGTTTGTTTGGGCTCAGAATATGGGATGATCTGCGGAACGATCGTGGTGGACAGGATACATTGTGACAGTCTACGATATTTGTAACGCGATCAGAGACACAATGGAGACTGACATTAATGTTAATAGGCGCTGTTTGAATGACAACGAGAGCTACGCAGTTAGCAATTAACCGTCACTGAATTTCATATTTGTTCTTGTACTCACCGTCTGTTCACGCAATCCTTTTGAAGCTTGATACTGGTTTCATTTGGAACGGATTTTGAGTAATGCCAGCGTTTATCTCCAAGATTCGTTATGTACCGATATCACGTGATAATCTCTTGATTTCCTAGAACGCCACCTATGGTTCATGGAAGGCGTCCTTTGTACTTGGAAATACTTTGACAACACCTTATTCAGGCATATGTGTATGTAGTGTGAGAGAGAGTTGTGCATGGGTGACTATAGGGTCTTCTTACCAAGGCTATGCGGCAAATTTGCATAAAAGTTTGAGTCTGAAATTTAGCTAGGTTCGCGGAGAGAAACAAAATCGATTTCGCCGAAGGGAATAATGTGTTACACCTGTTGTAGTGTGTGTATGGTGCCGAGGAGGACACTAAAATGGTGTTAAACTAAGTCCACTTCCGACATGGGTAACCTCTGTCGCCAAGCAGAGGGCATTTACCCCTTGTTTGGACATAACATTCCCCAATTTCTTGCTAACGATTGTGACGACGCTACAATCGAGTAGGTGGAGAGAGGTGTTTCAAAGTAAGGGACCGTTCATAATGTATGGCAAGGGGAGTTATATAAGAGGCTTCATCCCATTTTGTTTTGGGTGGGTAGGTAGGGGGTGATCATTGTACTTGGGAGAGGAGATAAATTTTGTACTTGACAAGCAGTGTGTGTGTGTGTGAGAGAGAGAGAAAGAGAGAGAGGGAGACTTTGTACATAAATTTTACAGGTGGTGTCATTCTCATTGTACCTGTTTCATCACTCCCACCCGCGCCTTGTCTGTTTACAGACGTGTGGGTCCACGTTGGTGTCATCTTTTACCTGGGCTTGCACGGGAAAGGTCATAAATCTGCGGACAATTCTGTGACTTAATTGTGATCTCGGACTATGGTCATCCCCATTACTCATCTGAAATTGCCTGTACATAGCAAGGTTCCCAAGTTCAAGGTGCATCTTAGTTCCTCTGTGTGTGTGTGTGTGTGTGCATGCGTGCGTGCGTGCGTGCGTGCGTGTAAGACTTGCATGTCACCATAGAGACTTACAGTGTTCGTGTGTATATCGAGAATGGCCAGTACAACAGTCACATAGGTAACCAAGTTCAAGGTGCATCTTAGTTCCTCCTAGCTCTGTCACATTTGTTCCACTAGTAGTAGCAGAGGAAGGGGGTGGGGGGAAGAGAGGCTTATTTGTGGGAATTAAGCCTCCCAGCCCCCTTGAAATATATCGACAGGCATCCTTGTAATCCAGCGATGCGAGTTCGAGACGGGGTATAAGCAGAAACAAGATAGGACCGTCGTTGCTAAGTTAAACAAGATGGTCACAATAGCATTGTTAAAATCTAAACAGTAGCTGTTGCCTGACTGCCTAGGGTCGGGTTCACCTATAGCACTTAGCTATAACAGTTTCTGTTGCAAGGTTTACTGGGTTATGTTTACATCAACAAAACAGTTTAAGGTGAATCTTTGTTAAGATCCTTGTTTTTTGTCACGAAAGTTTGAATGATTCGTTCTATGAGCTTTTTTTCTCGTCTTCGCTGATGTCAGCAGTTTTCCCGAGTCTTGGTTCGAATCTTTTCTTTCCTTCGGTGGTATTTCGCGATTTCCGATATCACCAAACAAAACTCTTCCCTGGAGATATTGCTATTGGTTATCGGGGGAAATACGATCGTTGATTGTGTTTACCTTGGCTTCGGGACAGAACCCTGATCTCGTCATGCTTTAGTGCTTTCCGTTGCAGACGACGTGAAATGAATTTAAGGGCTACTCCCGCCAGCCCCGATACCCCGGCGGCTATTTCCATCCCGAGGACGATGGGTGCGGCCACAATGGTCAACAACAAGCCGACGCCGGCACCCCCGAGTCCTATGCCGGCGACCACGAGGGCCGTGTCCACGCCGTCAATGGCAATGACGGCTCGATGTTATTTTTTGCAATCCGAGTCGCATTCTCGTTCCAATGGGGAACATTCCTGGTGTTGCGCCCCCTTGCCCGTTTGGAGCGTACGGTAATTACGGTCAAACAGTAGACCAAGCTGTCACTCTGATACTGGCATATAGGCCTGCCTATCGGCCAAGCCTAAACTTAAAATCGACATTAAACCTACTTTTAACTCTGTGGTTCTTAATTATACTACGAATTACGGAATCTGGAAGTTGTCCCGTCTGACGACTGTTGTCAAAGCACGAAGAACTAGCCTGTCTGGACGAAAAATAATGCTAATAGAACGGTACTGCAGTTATTGTAATATACTCCATTGTCGTTTCTCGGAATTTCTTCTTGAGTAGTTGCTTTGTAAATTCGTCAAACCATTTACTCCCCATTATGTCACATTACACAGGGCATTAATGCGGTCGTAATAGTTGTTAGAACATAGGATTAGTGTACACTGAAATTAGCGTTACACAAATAACGTTAGCACTGACGTGATAACGCGCACAGCATAAGTGCTTCAGTTTCCGTTCACGTAAACAACCTCTTCTCATAGCCTATAACGCTTTGGGATGCAATGGAAAGATGTTCAAAAATATTTTACACCCATTCACACGATAAATAAGCTCACAACTTCCGGTTTATAGTTTCTACATACATATTTAAGGACCGTTCATAATTAATGGTGTGGGTGTTGGTGATGATTTTTATGGAGAAGCATGTACAATGTGAGTGACCTCCCTACAATTCATGTACAAAGTAATGTGCATATGTCGTATTCAAAATCAATTAACCCACCCCCCACCCCATAAGTTTAGCATAATCTTTTTATGTACAAAGTTGCTAACCCCCCCTAGTACATGTGTAAAATATTGATGACCTCTACCTTTCCAGAACAAAATAGGTGATCCCCCTTAAATTCATCATCACCTCACACCCCACATCCCCAAAATATATTTAGGCCATTATTCAATCCCCAAAATGTACAGTAAACTGGCATATTGCTTGCACAATATATTTCTAAGTATCATTTGGGACCCCACCCCAATCTGTACCATTTTTACAGGCTGTCTCTTCTCAACACAAATAACCAGTATCTAAATTATAGATCACATTTTGAAAACACAAGAATATCATTTGAAATTGTGTTTCAGGTTTTGTCAAATAATGTAACTGAGCATGAGTGAATTACTGAAATATTATAAACACATTCAACCATTACTGGAGGTCTGAACTATCTGATGCCAGAAGCAAGGGGGTATCGGGTACATTGTCTTTTAAGGTGGGAGCCTTTTAAATTTGAATACACATCTTTCACATTTGTTATTCCAGCATGTGTGAAGGGTTTGCAAATTACATCAAGGCTCGTCACAATTATAATGTACTCACAGTGTCAGTGAACACAGTGTGTATTTAAAATACTGAAACAAAGAATAATTAAGCTTTTGAATGGTAGTCTAAATGGTACAACTGAGATTCTACAATACTTACGATTATTCTCATGTGTCAATTATCATCAAACAAAAATCCACAAAGTCTGGGTTGTCATTTCAGCTTTTATTGTTCAACATATTATATTCTGCATTTATGGACATTCATAAATATAGACATGCATACAGTAAAAAATGATGGTCTCCTTTGAAGAACCTTGATTAACACTTACATCAGATGCATGTTGATGTTTTCCACACTGACAATCATACTGTCAATATTGCTGTACAGATATTTTAGGTGACATGCATATGCATCAAAAATGGAAGTACAACAGTGAAGTCTGAATATTTTGACAGTCCTCTGTAAATGAAAATTGCTGCAGCAATAAGCATAATAGTTAGTACTGGAAGCACTGCATGTTTGTCTCTGTGTTGATATACAGTTACTTTCATATTTGGCCTGTGCCCAGTCTGGAGAGAAAATGTTTGGCTCAATAGTCTTGCCATCAAAATCATCATGTGTGATTGTTTCCTCCCCAGCGACCTCACTGATGTTACATTCAACATCACAAGTATCCACCAGCATTAAGTGGGTCAGCTGATACAGTCCAGGGAAAGAATCAGTCATACAGCATCTGTTTTTCTCTGTTGCCTCAGACGTGTTCATCCTGGAAAACGTCAGTGGAGTATTACTATCAAAACTGATACAGGGTAATATTATCTCATGACTGCCAGTTATGAGAAAATGTATCATTATCAGATTTAAGTTACTATTGTAGAGAAAGACATGTCACATAATGAACATATTCATTCCGATAGGTCAAAGGTGGAAAACAATATTCTTACAAATGTTTCAACTATGGAGAAGCATAATTTAAATATGCTGACATTTTTTTTCTTCTCTGAGTGGCATTTAGAAGTTGGTGTGATGAACAACAAGGAGAGTTCTATGGATATACAACGTCTTTAATTTATATGAGCGACATTGTGGCGTAGCTACTAACACGGTTATCAAGCAAGTAACTCTCCTCGTTAATTTTTTTTCTGATACAAAGAGGTGTGTTCAACAAGTACACCAGACATTATTCAGACAAATTCATACCAAAAGTAAACAAACACTAACCTGTATCATGTGTATTCTGGAATCACCTGGCCCTCATCATTGTGGACAACAGGCACCGTTAGGGAGATGCATTAAAGGGGAAAAGTCAGTTGTGTATTAGCATTCTTGGTAAACTTTAATTCAACAATGAAGGGAGCAAAGGTGTTATTGTCAAACATAAGCAACTTTGCCAACATGTATATAATGATGCTTACTTGCTTTTTTAAAAGCAAGAAGCAAATGAAAGTTAACCCATCTTAAAACATTGAAAGTAATAAATTGGGGTCTGTTCAAATTTACTTGCCTACTCTACCTACCTGTCATCAGGAGATATAAGCATATGTGAAAATATCACATACTTTAGAATTTTAAGTAAATTACTCAATGTAACTCAGTGTCAAACTGACAACTGTATTTAAGATGCATGACCAGGTGTTGTATGAGAGAAGACAAGCAGGTAAAATCAACAGGCCATATCAAGTGATGAATGCTTTGTTAAGATATAATTGAAATATAGTTGAAAATAAATTCAATAGATTAACCTGAAATTAGAATGCAATAGCTAGTGTTCAAGTACGGTGGAAATTTTTGAAACAATGTTAACAATGAATAAAGCCTAACTAAT